GATAAAAACAACTATTTCCTAACTTTTAAGTGTTGTTATTATATATGCTATCTTTTGCATTTATTGTTTTTATTATTCTCATGCACTAATTCTTACTAAGCCTCTTGCTTTTATGATTGCTGTTTTGTTGTTTAATTTTCAAGTTATCATGGTCAAGAAAGTCCAATTTGAAAAGCACTTTTGGGAAAACCATGACCTGAATAATTGAAAATCTCCATAGGATGTTTATTATACTACCATGCTTAAAAGAAAGTATGGATAAACTATTTCCTACTCATATTTATCTGTTAGAAATTTCTAGGGCAGGGATGTCAAACTCGATTTCATTGAGGCCAGCATCAGGGTTGTGTTTGACATTTGGGGTGGGGTAGGCATGGCCCGAGTGGCATGGCCAGCTCAATGTCACTCATGTTGGGGGCATCTGTGGTGGCCAAGTGCTAAGGCAGGACTTCCCTCAGACTTTCCCTCATTCTCATTATAATCTCCTCCCTCCCTCCCTTCCTCCCTCCCTCCTTCCTTCCTCCTTTCCTCTCTCCCTCCCTTTTCTTTTTCCTTCCTCTTCTTTCTTTCCTCTTCCTTTCCCCTCTTTCCTTATTTTTCCTTCCTTGCTCTCATTCCATCTTTTCTTTTTCTTTGTCTTTCCTCTTTCCCTTTCTCCTTTCCTATGCCTTCTTGCATGCTCAAATGGAAAAGGGGAAATATTTTTCCTTTTATTTTGTTTTGCTAGCCTCCTGCCAGTGAAAACAGAGCTCAGGAGGATAGTGCATGGCCCACGCGGCTCCATTTTCAACCATGACATCCTACTGCAGCCCTCTGCTAGCAAAAACAGAGCTTAGGGGGCCACAGGTGGCACTCTTGAACTCCATTTCTGCTGGCAAAGGCACCACAAGCTGGTCCTTTATGTTTCCAGGGCAGCCCCATGGGCCAAATCTAAGCAACCCGCAGGCTGAATCTGGCACACAGACCTTGAATTTGATGACCCTGTTTAGGGTGAAAGGTGGCGTGTTATATCTCATTGAAGGTCTTCATCCAATATTATTCTGCAGCCTTGTGGACAACAGTTTCTGTGCATGTATGATTTCTAATGTTTTGTTAAGATTCTTAGACTAAAACCATCCAATCATTCTTTACAATAAAACATGACCAATGAATTGCTAGGAATTAAGCATCAGGTATGTTCAGGAAATCTAATGGAGTTTGAAAAAGGTTATACAGTTATTCTTTTTAACTATAATCTCTAATAACGTCATTTGGAAAAAAGAGATCTAATGGTCTGGACAACAAAGCTGCAATTTTGCATGCTTCAATAAATGGCAGAACAATCAAGTTGAAGGGCAGAGTTAGTATTTCTGTATAAAGGTAGAAGCAGCATTAAATGATGAAAATAAAGTTGATCGCAATAGAGCTTAGTTTGGAATAAAGTTGTAATTTATTGCCCATTTTCTGGAAACTACATAAAGGTTAATCTGTAGCTTTTCCTTCATTCTATGTGTCATAGTATACCTAAATGTATCCCATTTACTGTCTACCTCTAGTTGGGAAAGTCTTCAGCACTTTGATCAGTGACAATGACGTGTTACCAAATTTTCATGAATGCTAGGCAATGCAACAAAATGAAATAACAGACTGATCCTGAAATATGATAATTTTATTTAATCAAATAACAATGAGAAGAGGCTGACCTTGAACTCTGAAATGCCAATTCCAGTTAAATCTATTTATAGTTTATTTAAACTCCAGTGTTAATGTTTTACATAGTGTATAATAGCTAAGCAAAGTGGCCTATTTATCATCATCTTTAAAAAAATCATGACTATTGATGGAACTGAACTAGCAGAAAAGTGGTGAAATAGAGTTTATTTTATAGGTGGCCCTCAGCTTACAACCATTCTTTAGTGACTGTTTGAAGTTAGAACACCACTGAAAAAGTGGCTTATGACCATTTTTCACACTTATTACACCTGCAGCAGCTCCATGATCACATGATCAAAATTTAGATGTTTGGTAACTGGCATGTATTTATGATAGTTGTGGTGTCCCGGGATCCTATAATCACCTTTTATAACCTCACAAGCAAAATCAATTGGGAAGCCAGTTTGACTTAACGATAGTGTTACTAAACTGTGACATGAAAGGTTGTAAAATTCACTTCACAACTGTCCTGTTTAACAATTTTGGACTCAATTGTTGTTGTAAGTTGAGGACTGTACTGACTTGGTAAAAAACTAAATGAGGAAAATTTACTAATTTTCAGAAAACTTTTGATTTTTTAACTTTTATTCATTAATATATTAACCTAGAAAAATTGTGTGTCTGCCAATTTACTGGTTCCTTTCTATTTTCTTTTCCTATTGCACATAATGTTCTGACTGGAAAAAAAAATCCATTTTAAATAGTAAAACAAACAGTCAAAAGCAGAAACTTTTGGGCAAGTACAAGATGGAACAAGATATATACATTACTTGGTGTTATCCATATATTTATATCTGGAAATGTATCCCTAATAATATGAGAGATTAAAGTTTTTACATATATTGTACTATAATTCCACAAATGTAATAGTGTGAGAATGTAAATGTTTGCTGTCTTGAATCAAACTGTATTATATTGAACAGTTTCTTTGCTTTGTTCTTCCTCCCAAGATTAAGAGTTACAATAATAATTTTTCGGACTTCCAGTTTGAGCTTCTTTGGTGATGGACCAAAGTTGTGATGGTGCATGGTTTCGATCCTTGCTCATCACTGGAGCGCCCTGTGCTGGCTGATTTTGGGGCTAAGCCACCCCGTAGAGGTGGTGAAGAGGAGGGAGACTGCCAGCAGGCTCAAGAAGAGCTGCATCTCTCCTCCCCAGCTGGCCATTACTCCCTTTCCCAAAGAAAGTTGCAGCAGTGGTCAGAAATGGCCACCTCAAAGAAGAACTTGACTGGAAAAGAATGTGCAGGAGGAAGATAAGAAGAGAAAGTTTTGGCTGACCTGGTTGAACTGAAAAAGCAACAACACAAGGTACCCTGGAATTTGAACTATAAAGAATAACATTGCTCCCAAAGAAGATTTTGAAGCGGCGAATGAGAGAGAGAAGGGAAAGTATTTGGGTTTTTTTCTTTCCTATTAACAACTAAGAGATTTAAATAAGAAACTGAAAAAAATCCACTTTGACATTAATAGGCATTTAAGCTGAAAATAAAATGTCAAAGGGATAATAAAGACTTCTGGATTTTCAAAAACTTTTAAAAGAAGGAAAGGAGAGAAAAAGAAAAAAAACAAAAGGGTGGGATCTGGAAAAATGGAGGAGACCACCTGGAAGCAAAAGGAATTAACAGTGAAACTTTAACAAGATTCCCAAAAGATACATTCCAAGTGAAACTTTGTAACAAGATAATAGAACCCCAGGAAGAGAAAGTGGAAAAAAGAAGCAAGAAGAAACAGCTTAGATTATTTGGATTACTTGGTGATTTTTGGTTACTGGATCTAAAGGACTAAAATCAATCAGGTGATTGTTTAAAAGTTTTTAAAATGGTATCACTCTTGGAAGAACTGAAAATGGAACTTAAAAAGAGAAAGAAGATGCACAAGAAGGAAGAGGTTTTTTGGTTTTGTATTTCAATTTTTAGAAATGGAGATCCTGAACTATGAGAAACAACATGAAATGCCTGTAGAACAAGAAGGGTGGGACAAAGAAGAAGCCATCTTCAATGACCAAGTAATTCTATGTGGGGGAACAAAAGGAAGGGGGGTGGGAAAGAGAGTGAAAAATTTAAGATTTGAGAAAACAAAAAAAAATAGTTTGAAAAGTAATTATAATATTAGGAAGAAACAGAAGAGAGGATTATAGAAGAGAAAATTAGAAAGACAGGGGGCCAAAAGGGGGAGGGAGAAGAAGAGGATGAAGAGGGAAAGGAAAAGAAGTTAAAAAGGACAGAAACAGGATATAGAAAAACAGGGAAAACATACAAGGATTAAAGGTATAACCCTATTTAAAAGACATAGAGATAATGGGTAAAAATTTAATTGAAAGAGGGAAAATATGAAACAAGTGTGATTAAAAAGATAGATAAAATACTCATTGTAATGTAATGGAATGTTTGTTAATAAATAAATAAAATAAAGAGAATGAGAGAATGAAATTTGGAAAGGATGGGAACATTTTAATTATTAATGAGTTATAAAAATTTAAGTGAAGAGGAATATGAAAGAAATATGAAAAAATTATGGAAATATTATAAGTGATATTCCATTGTATGATATTCCATTGAAAAATGTTAAAGATGTTAAAGATTATAACTAACATTAATAATAGAGCTGAACTGGAATAGAATAAGTATTATATTTTATATAATGTATATGTACATACATACATATATACTTTCTCTTTAAGAATTTAGTGTCTATTTTAAGAATGTACCAAGCAGAATTCGACTGGAAGTTATGTGTTATATTGAATGTTACAATTGTAAAGGCATAACTCTTTACATACAATTGTAAAGAGTTGAATGGACAAAAATTAAAAGATACAAAGGTGTCATACTCCAATCAGTAACTACAGGGGCAAATTTTGTTTAATGAGAAAAGAAAATAAGAAATTGAAACAGGACAGACAAAAGTATAAATATAATGATTAGAAAGATATTGAAACTTAGAAAAAGATATATATAATTGAATTTAGAAAGGAATGAGATAATTAAAAGCAAGGTTGAGAAAACTAAGGGAAGGGAAAAATTATTGAGAAAATGTTAAAATAGTAATAAGATATGGAATAGAACATAAAGATGAATATGAAATTGAGTTTGTATGGAGAAGTGATAACCTGGAACCATGCTATTCTCAAAAAAAGATATTTTATTTGTATTATGTTTTGTGAAAACCAAAATAATTTTTTTTACAAAAAAAGAGTTACAATAATAATTTTTCCATGTCCAGAGTCCAAAGCTCTTCCCTTGAGTATTTCAAACTATAATAAAAATTATATAAAATATTTAAATTTAAACAGACAATTTTACTTACTGTTTCTTGGATGCCACCGAACTGCGTTTAAATATGCATTACAGTAATGAAAGAGAAATTCATGCTCAGATTGGAGAACATTGCCTTGAAGCAAGGGCATTAGATCATGTCCATCAATAATTCTGAAAAAGACAATATATTAGAATCAGTAGAATCCATAAATGGTTTGACCAAAAAACAAAGTTGTGACTTAAACATTTCCATTTTTTAATAAATACAACACTAGCACTATATATACCTCTGGCAGTTAATTCCATATATTAAGTGACCACCCAATCTTTTGCTCTCCTTCTCCCTCTCCCTCCACAAAAAGTTGCTAAAATAGATATTGACTTAAAGCATATACTTATTTGTAAGTAGCATTGTTCTTGTTTTAAGCAAAGTAAAACAACCCCTTTTACAAAGGCAAAAATGTTGATAATTAATAAATGCATTGCAGTTTTTCATGGGAAAACCCTTTCTTGAAAATATCGAACAAGTGTACTGTATGACGAAGGATCAATGTTGAAGTAAGATTGAGATGCTTATCTATGGAATTAAGGATGGGAAAATCTGCCCTTTGTTTCTTATCAGATATGGCTTGGCCAGGCCCTGAGTGAATGCAAGCCAGGAAATGCTGTGCAATATGCAGTTTAGTTTCCAGAAATCCTATTGGATAGGCCTTCCCCAGGCACCTAATGGAGTCAGTTGGAGGAACTTAATTCATCAAGCCTGCTACTTGGTCTAATTGAATCTTTCATGGCTACATGGAATAGCAAAACAGCAATGGCTTCAAACCTGATTGCACCTGAACAACTTTTCTGTGCCCAGGCTTGCCAATGCTTCCCATAGAATATGAGGGACTTAAGGGAATTTAAGTGGACTAAGAGATCCAAGAGTATTGCTAGTGAAAAATAAGGCACTGTATTAAGATATTAAGTCCTACCTCATGGTGATAAGGATGGTGAAACATAAGTGTTTCTCTGCCGTTATTGCATCTGCCAATAATTGCCCAGTGGCTCTGTTCTGAGTCACTCAATCCCTCCTTGGAGGGAGAAGTGCTGAAATCTACTTAAAGGTCACTGAAGAAAATGCTGTACATCTCGCTGATAAAATTGGTTACATTCAGTATTCTTTGGACTTCAGTGGTAGAGCAATCTATGGGGTGGGGTGGGGCTATGTGTTGCAGGGTGAAGAGTTCAACCATTTGAGTGTTAGACCCATGCCCTGGATAAAACAGATTAGCTAGACCCTCTTTAGTCTGGATTCAGAAAAAGGTTTGGTACTGAGACAGCACTAAACATACTCGTGAATGAACTCTCACAGGTGTGGAGTGGAAGCAGTACATCCATTCTGTGTCTTCTTGACCTATCAGCGGCATTGGATACCATCAATCATCATATCCTTCTGGACCAGCTCAGTGTTTTGTATTGATTTTAGTATTTTTATTGTTTTAAAATGTTTATAATATATTCAGCTGTAACATACTTTTTTAATTGAAAGCTACCCAGAATCATTGACTAGGATGGGTGGCCATAAAAACAAACAAATAAATAAACAAAAAACAAACCTGGCTGTATTTCCAGCACTTTATTTAGTGTACCCAAAGGGAAGTGAAATCATAGAATTGAAATATTGGAAGGGACACTTGGGTTATTCCTTACAGAGTATAGAAATCCAGTTATACATTCTTACAATGGCTTTCTAACTCTACTAGAACACATCCAGTGAAGGAAAATCTGCCTCATCAACAAATAATTCCCTCAACACTGTCCAACTATTTACAAAGTCTGCACTACTATTACTATTAATCTTTCTATCACTCCTTATCACCCATCCCCTCCCACTTGTGACTGTATGACTGTAAATTTGTTGCTTGTATCCTTACGATTTATATCGAATGTTTCATAATATGATTCGATTACTTATTGTATCCTATGACTATTAAGTGTGGTCCCTTATGATTCTTGACTCTTTGATGAAGGTATATTTTCTTTTATGAGAGCATTTGCACCAAGACAAATTCCTTGTATGTCCAATCACACTTGGCCAATAAAAAAGAATTCTAATTCTGTTCCTAATTGGTTCTACTGTTGAACAACTGTTATTGCTGGGCAATTTTTCTAATGTTCAATTGGAATCTGTCTTCTGTAACTCAAGTACAAACTATATTGTAGCCTTATGGAGAATTTGTATATATTTATTTCTAAGCACAGTAATTTGTCCCAGGTATGTGTTTTATATTAAGGATGTATAAATTTAAGAACTGTGCCCTCTTATATAGACAGGGCTATTATTTATCACCTGAAAATGCCTAGCTTTATATATTTTTTCTACTGAAATATATTAGAAAGTCTGTACCACATTCCACTGCTAATGTGGCCTTTACTAATGAATTATTTAATTGTTGCAGTGTTGACACATAAACTTAATTCAAAGTTAATTCTTCGTGTGCTAAGGAAAGCTTTACAAATTGCTACATGTCCATGAAATCTGCACTCACTAAGCTGAATGGAAGAACAAAAAGTCACTATTTGTAATTTTAATATCTTTTCCCCTCTTCTGCTATGTCTTTTCCTGTAAGTACAAAGTATAAGGAATCCACTGTTATAACTGGAATAATAATTTGAGTGCAATATAGTTCAAATACTAATGTGGAAACTAAAATGTATCTGCGGCATGCTTTTTAGTGGTCAATGTTCAGATAGCTCCTTTACATGAGAAAATAATCTCTTTCATGAATAAAAAATATTCATTTCTTGTGTGTGTTTGTTTCTTTCATGATACTTGTCAGCGTCTGTGAGGAGTCATAAATAAGAGACAGGAGACTGATTTAGTCAAACAGGATAAAATGTGGATTCTGGCTGTAGGCCAGAAATGACTGTTTAGAATTATGGAGAAATTCAAAAAACAGTATGAATGCCATTCTGGAGCAACTATAACTCAACTATTATGTAAAGATTATACCATTTCTTCAAGTAATGATTGAGTTATATTTGCTACAGAAGACACTTATTCCATTATCCCATAAATAATGATTATACTTATAATTCCTTCAGAACTGCCAGACCCATGTGTTTTTAAGTTACCTCTTCTACAACAAATGGAATTAGGTTCTATACCGGTCATTGGGCAGTGATGCTCCAGCAAGTTTAATTATGGTAGGGAATATATCCATATTACTTGTTGGGTCAGAAATATGTTTTCCGGGGTCAAGAACACCAGGCCAGTAGAGGAGGCCAGGCACTCGAATCCCTCCTTCCCAATTTGTAGACTTTCCACCTGAAATAAAAACTCTAGTTTAATTTCAAGTTATTATTCTTTGGATTAGAACACAACAGTCAATATTTAACTGAATAGGTTAACTGAGTACCTTAACCATTAAATAATAAAATACAGAGTATGTTTATTGGACATATTTTTTTAAATGAAGACAAAAGTATTAAATGAAGACAAATGTTAGTTTTAATAAAAATATCTTTAAAAAAAACCACAATGAGATCAAGAACTGTACTAAAAGAAACATTTCTCTTTTTTTTTTCTCTCATAAGAAGTAATGTATCATCTTGAAAGAAAGAAAAAAAAGTTGCTCTTTCTGGAGAAAAAAAACCAAGCATACAATGTAAAATATTTTTCTTCTCTCTGCCCTTTTTACCCCCTTGTCTCTCCTCCATTTCCCTCTTCTGTATTCCCCTTTTCTGTTGCTTTCTAACATTGTATCTACTTTTCACCTTATTTTTCCCTTTTTTGGTTGTTTTTTTAGGTCTTAAAGTCTCCATTTTCTTTCCCTCCTTTCCCCCTTCTTCCCCAAATAAAGTTACTTGTTCGTTGAAGATGGCTTCTTCTTTGTCCCAATCTTCTTGTTGCACAGTCTTTTCTTGTATTTTCTCGTAGGTACAGATCGCCATTTCTAAGAATTGAAAAACAGAGCCAAGAGAGCCCTTCTCTTCTTGTTCCTCTTCTTTGTATTTTTTAAATTCCATTTTCAGTTCATCCACAAGTAATGCCATTGTAAAAAATTTTTTTCAAACAACCGCCCAAGTGTTTTTAATCATTCAGATATAATTTCCAAAAGTCCCAAAGTCACGAAGCAATCCAAATACACACAAGCTGTTTCTTTTAACACTTTCTTCTTTTTTCACTTTCTCTTTCTGGGGTTACTGTTTAGTTACAAAATTCCAGTTAAAATGTATCTTTTAGAAGTCTTGTTAGGATTTAATCAGATTCTTTTAAATTCCAGGCAGTCTCCTCCTTCCAAATCCTGCTCTTATTCTTTTCCTCTCCCTTCCCACTTACAGCAAAAAAGAGGTTTTTTTTTTTAGTGTTCAGAAATCCTTATTGTCCCCTTGACATTTAATTATCCAGTTTAATTACCTATTAATGCCAAAGCGGGTTTTTCTGATTTCTCATTCATCTCTGTTCACTGTCAACGTAAGGAAGGAGAGTGAAAAAAAAACTTTCCCTTTTCACTTTCATTCGCTGCTTCCAAATCTTCCTTGGGAGCGATGTATCTTTTTAAAAAAATTTAAATTCCAGGATACCTTAGTTGTTGCTTCTTATCCCGGTCAGCCAAAACTTCCACTTCTTAACTTCCCCCTGTACTTTCTTTTCTGGATGAGTGCTTCTTTGAGGCGGCAATTTCTGACCACTACTCTTACCGCCTTTGGGAAAGGGAGTTTAGCCAGCTGGCGAGGAAAGATGCGGCTTTCCTCGACCCTGCTGGAATCTCCCCCCTCTTCACCACCTCTACAGGGTGGCTTAGCCCCGAAGCCAAACCGGCCCCGGACGCTCCAGTGGTGAGCCCAGGCAGAAACCGCGCACGATCGCGGATTCTTGCCTGCCACTGAAGCCCTGCAAACCAGAAGTCGTCAATGTAAAATATTTTTATAATTATCATCAGTGTTTTGCAAATAAAGAAAATAAAGAATAAATAAATAAAATATTTCTTTCTTCTAGTTTTTTTAAAAGATAACCTAATATTTCTAGATATGAGATTTGGCCAGGATTGCTTAGTCAGAATTTATAACATAATAAAGTACTCTCATCAAACATTGGAAGGATCACATGTTACTTAACGAACTTCCAAGATGCAACTGATGTCAGAATCCAAAAGATGGATTTTGAGGCTGATTCAGTAAAGCAGTTCTTAAATCCAAGACTGAATTATTAATTTCAAATATATTGCCAAATCCAATTCATTTTCATTATCTCAAGTATAGAAGAAATTCTGATTGTTTGGCATTTGTTAGTCTGAAAAAGCCCAATCTTAGATATAAAGATATGTTAGATACATTTATTGTGACTATAAATTAAATGATTGTATTTCTTTTTATCAAAGTGATGGTAATAACAATTATCAAGAAAATATATATTATATATCTACTAGAATAATAGACATTACATTGAGAATCAGTCCAGTAATACTGTTTCTTTACTAACTTGATGTGAAATTGGTATGAAATGATTGTATTGTAGAATCCTTCAGTAAATAAAAATGTTGGATCAAGAGAAATTGTTTATTTTGTATCCATATACCATTTATAAGATGAGAAAGTTAGGAAACTTACAGTAGAAGCTGAATATACTTTCCAGAATATATGACAGGTGATTAAGCATCTGGACAACCAAAGAAAAATAACTCTTGACTTATTACACTATATTGTCAATTTTTAACAAGATATGTAAATATTTTAACAATATATAAATTGAAAACTGTTTTCCTACTTATCAACTCCAACTTTAAATGCAACCTCCTTTGAAAAGACTCGTTGCATCTATAAAAAGAGATTAAAATTATTTTAGGATTGCATGTCTCCATGTTTTATCCAAAGGCTAAGTTTGTCCTTGGCCTGAAAAAAAAATAGATCAAAGGATTATAGATTGCATTTTACCCACAAATTAACCTGATACTATTGCTGCAGTTGATACAACTCAGATGATACTGCTAAGTATCTAAGGCTGAGAAAGAATGAGTGCCCCATTATTTCCTAGCTGGCTTCCTGCCCGAAGAGGGTTTATAACTAATAGTCTCTGGGTTTCTAGCCTAGTGCTTTAACCACTACAACAAATTGACTCTCTAAGTCAGCCATTAAGTTCTCAGAAATTGTTATATCTTATTATCTGACTAATCATAAGATAAACAACAAAATTTCAGTTGTGAAGATGTGATGAGAGCTTTTAAACTAGACTAGTGCAATTACGGTTAAGTAGATTCCAGCTTCTCAGATGAGAAGGTTAATTTGATGGATTCATAATCACATGCTCAAAGGATACATTTTAGAAAGAGCCCTCATCACAAATGCTACCGTGATTGAAAATTGCAGTCTAATTTCTGTTTATATAAACTCGTAATCATTGGCTGAAACTTCAGAGTCTTTGGCTGAAAAATTATAATATTTCATTTTTATTTGTGTTTTTTTCTGTAGCTTGAATAGAACACATCTGATATTGAGCCTCCCTATTCTGTTTTTTTCATATGTAGATACTGTGCAAAAGAAGGGGTAAAAAAGGAAAAACAGAAAGAATAAGCATGGCATACTTAGTTAAATATTTATGCACACTTTCTGATACCTATGCATTTTTCCATAAATAATTGATGAGTTAAACTAATTAATGCTGTGCTCAAAATGCAACAGTGGTTCATATGTTGAGATTTCTTCTGCTACATTGACTCCCATTAAGACAAAAGCAAATTCAATTTTTGCACATTCACTAGTACTGAACATACACTTATGAATATTTTTTGCAAAATAAAATATCTTAATCTAAGCATGCCAAGATTATGTTCCAATTGAATGTTGAGTTAGTGGGAAGCAACAAAGAAAGATAAAGATAACTGAGGAAGCAACATTTGCACCTTAGAAGTAATGGTGAAGCCAGAATGAAAAGTGGGTGGGATCAAAAACTCTGCTATATAATCATAGGGAAATAGAAATAGTATCTATTTTTGAAATAAATGGCCTCTTTGCTGCCCTATTTGTTCTTAAATTAAATAAAACAGTTTCCCCATTTCCCTTTTAATAATATAGAATTACCAATTTGGTCACTTGTTTAATCCACCACTGCTCCTTAAATTAAATCCTCATATACTTCATAAGTAGGCAATCAGAATTTTGATATATTGTCTTCTTGTCTCTTGAGCCCAGGAAGCTTATTAAACAAATTAGAAACTTAATTTCACAACCTGATACTGTTACTGTTTCTGTGATATGAAACTTGAGCCTTATAGTAGTTTGTGAATTAGAAAATGTGAGATGTCATCTTAAAAGAGATAGGAAGAAGTACTTATTACAGACAATAAAAACATGGAACATTTTTGAAATGGGGAAGAGCATAGGAAGAAAAAGCTAATTTTCTCAGCCTACTTCTTCCCCTGATGATAAGGAACTTCCTGGATACTAACAAAGCAGTTAGTGAATTTGCCTTGCTATTTGTTTACAGCCATCTCTTCCAGCTCATCATTTATCACATCTATTCGGAGTATACTGACTCTGTGAATGTAGAACCAAAAATGCTTTCAGCCATGCTAGTTGACTCTTTTAATTGTAATCACATCAGGAGTATGTAAACTGAGTGAAGCTGGGACTTCATTCAGCAGTATAACCATTGCAACAGGACCAGATGCTGGGACTGAAGATAACATGGATAGGAAAGTGAAAAATATCCAGGAGTATGTTTTTAATTTTTCAGGTGGCAGCAATACAACTATAACTTGATGTGGGACCTCTTCCAAATGTTAATTAGGTCATTCCTTGTGAGTCTTTTAACAGGCTCATAAAATTCCTAAGATAAATTAAGGAAGCTTTATACCCTTTCTTGTTACTGTACATTTTTTTTTAACTTATAATTGCACGTTCTGTTATTCTTTGGTTGCTTGTAAATTTATAATCCTCAACTTATGACAACAATTGAGCCCAAAATTTATGTTGTTGAAAAACTTGTTAGGTGAGTTTTGCCCCATTTTATGACTTCTCTCTCCACATTTGTTAAGTGAATCATTGCAATTCTTAAATTAGTAACATGGTTATTAAGTGAATCTGGTTTCCCAATTGACTTTACTTCTCAGAAGGTTGCAAAAGGGGATCACATGACTCTGGTACACTGCAACTGTCATAAAAATGAGACAGTCATCAAGCAGCTGAATGTAAATCATGTGGCCATGGGGATGCTGCAACAGTCACAAGTGTGAAAAATGATCATAAGTTCCTTTTTTTTAGTGCTGTTGTTACTTTAAACTGTTGTAAGTCAAGGACTGCCTGTATTTATAATTAATACAATCATCTCTGCCTTGAAAGGACTCATCAGTAGAGATGACCAGGCTGAGAGCAAGAGAGGGATCAAGTATATCATAAATTTGGAGTCCATTTGCACCCACAAGAGATGTAAATCCAACCCTCCTTGAATTCTATTGACTCTTATCTACTGTCCTTTTGATCAGATTCTTGTAGAGAAATGGCATTGAATATGCTTGTACTCATTTGAACAACCCTGGTTACTGATTTATGTGCCTGACATGGAGTTCGTAATGTAATAAAAATAAATCTGGTAACAAAAAGGAATTCATTACCAATAATGAATTGATACAGTAACTTGATTTAGTTACTGTGTCTTGCTAACATTTGGTTCTGGCTATTATTTAGGACTGATATTCTATCTTCCTTCATTTTCTTCTGTTTATTTTACCTTATCCCAGCTTTATATGATTGTCACTTGAAGAATCATTAAGATATTTCTCTTGGTAGACTTTTCTGCAGTTAACTTGATTTCACTTTTTAATACTCTATCTAGAGTACATGTAGTTCTTATTAGTAGGCAAGTGGCATTATCATTGGATAGAGTCCATCATTGCTAGTTATGCTTTCAAATATGATACAATGTAGAGATAAATAACATGATGTGTGCTTACTGGGTATTGAAGTAAGCAATGTAATGAGTTTTGCTATGTACATAAAAGAAAAGATAACATTTGTCAAGAATCAAGAATCATCAGGTACAACACCTATGACTATTATTAAGTGTTGTACCTGATGATTCTTGACTCTTGACAAATGTATCTTTTCTTTTATGTACACTGAAAGCATTTGCACCAAGACAAATTCCTTGTGTGTCCAATCACACTTGGCTAATAAAGAATTCTATTCTATTCTATTCTATTCTATTCTATTCTATTCTATTCTAT